TTATTAGAATGCGTGAATTAAATATCAATATTATTAGGATTATTGATTATTATAGCCTGTGATTCCGAATATTGTATGATAATACACTGTAACTTTGAAGATATGCAATTTTTATTACAATTATTATTTGAATTTTTACAGTTTTTCACCTGTAATACATTTTCAATGATACAAATATCAAAATAGAAATTATAATATTGAAATGAAAAAAAAAATATATACACAACAATCCTTCACGTCAATATATATTTTGCTCGACTAATTAAAATCAAATTTCAGATCTTTATTGAAATTTGATCTCGATAATTTCCAGTTTATACCTATCCTAAAAAAAATATTGCGTGCAAAATGATTACTTTGATAATTTGAATGAATTAAATGACTCGTTTATATGCTTAATAATAAATGGCTTTGGCCTAAATTTGATCGCTCAATTTCGTTCGAACTATTTTATCCATTTTTTTTTCCTCCTTTATCCTTTTATCTAAACTAAAAATTCATCCGATAACAAGCCTATATGATATTAATTATATTTGCAGGATCGTGAAAATGAGAAATTACAAAATTAACGGAAAATAAGCAGCAAATAGTAATCGGGACAGTTTAAGATTATCAGAATGTATTCACAATAAATTATGGAAAATTTGCAATCCAAAAGGATATGTTTTGATGCGGAAGATCGACCGCCACCATCTTATTGGCATGGCGAAATAGAAACGCAACCATCAAATGATGATAATTTTAGAACGCCACATGAAAATGGAAATTTACCTTCACCAAAACAAATTAATACCAAAATAGATCCTGAAGGTGAATTGGTCATTTTCTATTTAACCATTTAAATTGGATTCATTTATTTGAAAGTTGAATTTACTTTTTTCTTCGATAATAATCCAAAAATATTTAAAAACTTCGCCAAAGAAATTTTTAAAAAACTTGCAATAATCCAAGAAATTTAAAAACCTCTTTGGACATTTCATAGCTTTATGAAAGGGGCAAATTTTTTGTTATAAAAAAAAATGGACATGAGTGACTACAATAACAATAGCGGAATAAATATTTGATCTTGGAAAAATATACTGAGGAGTGAAACTTGAAAATTTAATTAATTTCTATTAAGCATAACGATCGCTCTTGTTGATCTGCAATATACCTGTGGCTTTGTCTTTTGATCAAATCATGTTTGAATTTCAACTACATTTTTCAGCATGACTTATCACCCAAAATATATTTCTGCTAATAAAATAACAAGAAAAATTTACTTATCGCATTTAACACAAAATTTTTACGATATACATGATGTTAAAATTTTTTTTTTGCCAATTGAAAAAGAAAAATTTCATCTCATAGCTTTCATTTGTTATTTTTAACAAATTATTTCAAACCGAGATCGAAAATTTTGTTATTTAATTGGAACGAAAAGTTCAAGTTAGAATTCTTTAAGTTAAAAACTAGAAATTCATAATCTTGCATCTGAGATTCTTTTCTGATTTTAAAATTTCGAGTTAAAAATATCATTCTTCATTATCCCTATTCCATTTGAAATAATTTACTTCGATTTAAATCGATAATTGATATCAGTTGTGAAATTCATTAATAACTACAATCGTTTGTTGAATATGTAATGTACGATATGGCACATATTCATTTGTTTATTTGCATTTTAAAAGATTTTTTAATGATCATACTTTTTGTTCATTTCAGCTAAATGTATAGTTGCCTATTGTTTTTTGTTGCACAAAATTAAAATCATTGATTACTAGTAAGAATAAGACGATCAGAATTAATCGTCATTCCATGACAATTAATTGGAATGACTAAATCTTTCAAAGTATCATTAGCTTAAAAACTTCCTTGATTTGCTATTGAGAATTATGATAAGCTGTAGAAAAATTATAAAGTAAACAAATATTACTGATTCTTAACTAAGCAAGAACTGTTTTGTGACGAAAAAGAAAAGTTCGGAAAAATAGATTTGTAAGAAAAAAAATCAAAAAAGAAAAACTGTAAATCTGCCTACATTTACTGTAAAGTGTTTGTTAAAAACAATCTATTTCTTTCAAAAATTTTTCTTTTTGAAATAAAGTGTTTGTAAAAAAGTTGTGAGAAAATTAAATTAAAATCCCGTTTAAATCTTGCAACACAACTTAACTTCATAATTTATTCATAAATCGAATTTATGATTGTAAGTTTAAAACTACAAAAGTTAGCTAATGATTTCCTCTTCAAAATCAATATTTCAATTCAGTTATAAACTCGAATGAGCACTTATTTTGCTTCTTTTCTTTGGCAGACTGGAAAATAAATTCAAATTGGTAATTTTTCAATATTAATTCAAAAAAAGACGAAAAAAATCATAAAATTGCTCACTTGTTCTCTTTATGTTTGTTAGACTGTTTTTTATTTTTAAAGTTTTTTCAAAGGAAAAAATAATATTTTAACAGACAATGTTATCATATATTTTTAGATTTAAATTTATTCACAATTTTAGATCAATATTTGATATTTTATTCTTTCAGAATGGTTAAAAGCACCGGAATTTATTCCTCGATCCAGGCAGTTTTTGAATGAATCCTTTCGTCCTACTGATCAAATGATATTTGCAAATAATTTACCAGTTAATAATTCAATCAATCCAGTTGTTTTGCCCAACAATATTTTAAGACAGCAAACTCAAGCTCATGTTGTAACTGGCATACCATTTTCACCCGTTCATACTGTTCTTGATCTACCACAACCAATAATGTCTGCACAAAGTAAGTAATGCAATATGATCGGAATTAAAATAAATTGATAATAAATAAGTTTAATTTGAAATAACTATAAGTTGATTATTTTCCAAAATGTTATTAGCAATACTGTTAGTCTTGAAGTGTTTACATTAACAAATTTTAAAATTAAAAATTTGATCATAAATTTGTATGGTATACATTTTTAATGGTCAATTATAAAAATGAAAAAAGTATTATTATTAAAATTTTTAACAGATATGGTACCATTTGCAATAGGTCAACCGGCACCATATTTTATTCCAACTGCAACTGTTGCACCACCACCGCCACCACCGCCACCACCCGTTGCAACAATTATACGTTTTCCGATGCCACCAATCAATCAAACAGCTTTAGCTTTACGTGATGCGCTTGGCATGGTACCACCTGGCTATTCTGCTAATATTACTCACATAAATTGCAAGTGATTTCATAAATTACAACTTAATTTTCACTTAGCTTTATATTTTTGCTATCAACTTTTATGTTATATGATTATTTGATTAAAAAAATTGATCAAAAAGAAAGTAATCATTAAGGGAAACAATAATCTTCTTCATTTCCTACAATTAATTAAAAATTTATTCTAAAATTTACCAATTATAATGAAAAATTATGATGTCAAAGATGCCAATTATCATTTTACTGCTATATATTTATGCATTACTCTCATCCAAATTTCAAAATAATTTCACAAAAATTTCCATTTCTTCTTTTGTTATTATCGATCAAATTTAACTATCCGTTGGATAACAATTCTTTGATTCTTCCTTTTTTTTTATGCATCGTTTTCTTTTTTCCTTTCCTTCCTCTTTTTCTCTTTTTTTTTCTTTCTTCAAAGGAAGAGAGAGATTCCTTGAAGAAGGAATAAAATGAAATTGAAGAAATACATAAAACGATATAAAATAAGGAAATTGATTATAATTTTTTGCTGCTCAAGAAAAAGAAGAAAAATTTCGTTCATTATTTAATAAATTAAACTGTAGTGTCATCCAACATAAATCATACTTTGATAAGAATGACAAATGAGATAAGAATGCTGTCATCCATTTCCTCTATTTATACATCATATCATGCTTCCCTCCAATTATTATATTTGAATCAAATTCTGTAACGTGGGCAGGAATGCTGCTATATAATTAATTAATATGCATTTTTTCGCTCAACTGATATACACTCCAGGCAGAATGGAATGATAATAGATGATCCTTATATACAAACTTTTATAAAATTAGCTTAGAAATTAGATAAGCACTTTACTGAAGTATGTAGTCATATCCTGCATTAGTATATTTTTTTATATTTTGCTAAATCCTTCCAACTATTAATGTTTTTTTGACCGATTTTTTTTTTCTTTGCATATTCCACATTTAGTTGTTAATTATCTTTTTTGACAATTTTCCATTCTTTAATAATTGGCGAGATCGTCTCAATAAATTATTACATATATGCTATTTTATTTTTTCAATTTAATTATTATTTATGCTATTTTATTTTTCCAATTTAATCATATTAGTCAGTTAACTAAATTGAAATTTTTAAATACAGAATTTGTTAGTAAAAATATATATATACACGGTAATAACAATGTTATGTATAATTAGGTACGAACAAAAAGTGAATTATTCTTAAAACAAATGATGAAATTTGTTTACACATTTCTAAAAGTATAGCTTTCTTTTTAAACCGTAAAAAGTGCTTGGAAAAATTGCTTAATTTTTTGTTTTATCTTCTCACTAATAATTTTTTTTTTATTTTACCTTCCCACTTTTCCTCTCCTCCTTCTCCTCTCCAAAACATATAATTTTGAAAAATTATAGAAGCAAAGGAAAACTTGAAATATCAAAGTTATGCAGTCAAAAAAAAATGCTTTTCAGGATAGTATAGTTTAAACAGACAATCTGTGTAACATTTTAATAGCAAAAAAAAAAGAGTATTACACTTTGCAATGGATTCGTGAAATCAATGAAGTGAAATTTATGACAAGTGAAGAAAAAAGAAAGAGCAACAATAATAAGAAAAACAACAACAAAATTTTTGCAAAAATAAAAGGAAAAATATTAGTACAAATGTTTTTTTATTAATTTTTTTAAAGTATGGACAAAATTATCTCCTTTTTTCTAATTTATAAAAATTAATTATATGAAATTTGGTATGATCTTACAACTGTATACAAAACTAATTTTGATAATGCTTCCTTTCTTAAATCCTATCAAATTTTACTCACAAATTAAGCCTACAATCAATTACAAAAATCATGAAAAATAAATATTGGACAT